TTTTTCTAGAAAAAAGTTTTGGAATTTTACATTATAAGGTATTATGGGACTTGCAACTTGTCGAAATAAGCCCAGGCTTGTTGTTCTTTTTTTGAAGAAGTTCCTCTTAAAAATTTTAAAGTTATTTTTTTGTTAATCTTAAATACTATAGTAATGTGAAATCTTCTGAAAAAGATACAAAATAAGCAAATAAAAGCAAGCTATCACGTTTTTTTTTGTAAAAAAGCGTGGGCAGAATATTTATTTTTTCTTGCCTTCTTGGAAACAGGGTGATCTTTATTCGTTTTCCTCATTTTATATTGTTTGTATTGTCTTGTTTATATAAACATTATGTATATCGAAAATATATATATGAAACCTAATATTATTAAGTATATGAAATTGTATGTGTGTAACGAAATTCAGCATCTTTTTTACCCACTTACATTTTTTCTCCATTTTTAATAATTTAACAAGGACATATAGGAATTATATAGGTTATTTTTGGAAAAAAATAAATATGTATGTGTTTGCGTGAACATATTTGAAATACGTACAAATTATACATACATAAACAGTAAATAGTGATTCATTTGAATATATTTATGTGTTAGATAAGCTTTTAACATTCGCAACGAATAAGATAAACAATAAGAAATATAAAATTTGGAATTTATATTTTCTCCGACGGCTGCGTTTTGTAAGGTAAGACTTTGGTTTTCGGATCAAACAAATGGTTTGTAAAGCAGCTTTCTTTTCATTAAATTTGTATAGACTCGTAGATTTTTGAGGGAACCGAGTGTGGTAGGAGGACCCACCGAGCCACCCCAGCTATTCCTGACATATTATAGCCTCCTCACGCTGCTATCTATGATATTCCCGGCCCAAGTATAAAGCTAGGGATATTTCCAAAGAATAAAAATATGCCGGACAGCCAGTACCAGACAGTCGCAAAGAATGTGCACGGCGTTTCGTCACCATCCCCACAAAATCTGCACAGGGAGGACCTCGATTTACCAGTGAGGAAATTCGTAATAACGCGAACCCGGCTCCTCTTCATCCCCAACAACTTTGTGGTGAACTTTTCTGAGCAGTCTGGCAGAAACACTTTCACATGACGACGCCCCTTCGTGTCCCACCAATGAACGCTGTATGCCGCCGCGAGCGGGTAGGCAAGCCTAGTTCCCATACCTGGGAAGAAGGCAGACCCAGATCTTTTCCGCAGCAGCTCATCGTCAAACTCGTTTTCCATATGCCCACTGTGGCCTGACATCCAAATGAAGGTGACTCGGTTCACCGATGCTAATTAGTGCAGTAAGGTACTTTTTCCATTAATTTTTTAATTTTTTAAAAATTTTACTGGGTATTCTACTAGTTATTTAAAAACCTTTCATTTAGATACCCAAAGATATGAAGTACATAGAAGAAAAAACAGTTTTAGAAAAACATTTTTAAATTATAAAACAACGAATATGCTAATCTTGCTTAAAATTTACAAATGAATGTGTAAAGAAACAACGACGCTTGGTTTATTGTTTATAAATTTAAATAATTAAAAATGTATAATATAATTAGACATCTGACGGCCTTTGTAAATATTTTTCAAATTTGGGTACATATAAGCACTAAAATTGTTCTCAAAAATTTTGATTGAAAAAAAAACATTTTGAATAGCCTTCAATATGAAGTTGGATGATGAAGTACAACTGACTATAGTAAAACATACACTAATTGTTACAAAGCATGACATCAGTTAAAAAAAAACAGCTTGTCGACTTTTAGAAATTCTTAATTCTTAACTTTTAGAAATTAAACTTCTCAATAACGTACAAAACCTTATTTCACAAGGATTTAAAAGTCTTCTCTCCAAAAATGCAATAATATGGAATTGAAATACGATTCAACAAGTTACACTCATAAGTTGAATTGTGTGTAATGCCGTATTACAGCATATTGCAAGTCAAGGGAGAATAGTATATCTTCTGCAGTAATACTTGGAAGGCTACAATTTGGTCAATACCGTAAATATTTCCCTTTTTTAGAGTTTTGGTTTCTTATCGCAAATTACTTCTAAAAATTTAAAAAGAAGGTCGTGTATGTGTAGTCACCATAAAAAAAGGAAATCTTTACAAAAATGAAAAATTTGAAATTAACAAGAAAATGGGATTTGTGCTTCGTCTTTTTCCTTTATTTTTAAGACTCAGTTTTTATTTTAAATTTTAAAATTTATTTTTATTTTTCTTTATTTTATTGAACTTTGATACTCCCACATTTTAAAATAATTTTCGTTATTTCTGAAGTTTCGAGTTAAAAAACTTTTTGTTTTGGTAGAAAATTAAAATTGTCATTTAAATTTTCTTCCCGTCTTCATTTTTGCCATTTCAATTTCTAAAAATTTTTTAACAACTTTTAAAATGATTTTCAGTTTTTTGAAATACTTTTTAAATACTTGAAGTTCTGAAATAATGGGATTTTTGTTTCTTGTACGTTATACATACATATGTACATATATATTCTAATAATATGTGTATAATATCTGTAAGTATGTACGCATGTAATTCATATTTGTACTGTTTTAAAATTTTTTTTTTATTGATTTGAAATTAAAGTATAATGATGCGTTTACCTTGAAATTAAGGATACATGGAAATTAAGACGCAATCAGTAATGTAAGCACCATATATTTTAGTAGATGATAGTAGGTGATATAATGGATATTGCCTTATTAACTGAAGCTTAGGAATCCTAAAAAAATTAATTATAAATAATAAGCTCTTTGACGTTAAGTTTGAATTTTATTTTTTACTTAGCATTTCGGAAAACAACACAATTTTCTAAAAATTTTATACTTTTGCTAATTATTTTGGTAAGCAAAAAGAGACGTGCTCTTCCGAGCATATGTCAATTAAAAAAATAAATTGCATAATATGCTTATGTAATAAAATTTGCATATTTTTAAAAATTAAACAATTTTGAACCAAATATACAATGTTTTTTTTAAGAATTCTCAACGTAATTTTTATTCTTTCATCTAACAAGTTCACTTGAATTTCACAAGTTCACTTGAACTTTGACATTTTACAAAACACTACCAAAAGTCAATTTTACTTTATATACAGATACGTAGTACCAAATACAGCTACACTTACAGCTGCAATAGTAGCTGAGTTGCGATTTTGAGAGCTGACAGCTTTCAACTTTAATAGATTTTAGACAAACGAGAAATAGCGCGGATATTTCGAAGTTCTTTGTATACTTTGCTGTTCAACGTCAAATGGGGGGATGCCATGTTTGCCTAACTGCTTAGCAGGGAATTTAAATCTTTTGGAGCTAGTTTTAAACTGTTATGATGGTTGTCACACATAAACGTGCAAAACGTTCAAAAGTTTTGGGACAAAAATTGAATGAATGCATTTATTGCCTTTGGACACATGTATATTTCAAAAAATACATTTTTCGAATTTTTTCTAGTAAAAGAAAATTCATAAGACACCATTTACTTTCGCAATTTTGATCAATTTTCCCCCTCAAATCTCAACTTTATAGCTGTAATAATTTTCATGCAATTTTTAGAGATTTTTATGTAGACCTTAAACAAAAAGAAAATTAAAAACAGATTTTAAATTAATTAAAATAAAATAACAAAATACGAGTATTATTTTTTAATTTATTTTTTTTTTTAATTAGATTCCATAAATATTTATTATCTAACAATCATCGTCGTATAGTTACGAAAAACTAATTGAATTTTTTTTAATTCAATTTTGTAAATACGTTTTTGTTTTTGTTTTAAACAATTCAAAAGTTAGTTACCATATGGCGCTAACTAAACATTTGATTAATTTTTTAAAATCATGAAATCAAAAAAATATTCAAAAAATGAAAATTAAAAGTACAAATTTTAAAAAAGCCATTAGAAATTATTTTGGAAAATTCATAAAAAAACTTAACAAAAATATTTTTTTTTTCAATTTTTTAATAAAATGAATAACAATAATAAAAGTAAAATAATTCATAATGGATTTTCACTATTAAAAAAATAATTAAAATAAAAATTTAAATATTTTAATGTACAATTTTTGTTTTTGTTTGCTTGAAATTATTTTGTAATGGTGTGATATTTTATTTTTTTTAAAAACTAAATTTTTTAAATTAAATAAATTTCTTACGAATTTTGTTTGTTATTTCGAAAGATTCATTGAAATTAAGTGAATTTTTAAATTATATTCTCAAAAAATTTACGATTAAAATTATTTTGCTTCTCCGTTTTTAATGCTCAAGAAATTATTTATGGATTGTTGGAATGTTCCCAAAATATGTGAACGGAATCGGAATTGTTTAGTGACTTCTTTGAGCTCTGATAGCCATTTGCTTTTCAAAATTAAAATAATTTTTATTCTCTTGCAGTATTATGTGCTTTATATCTGATTCTCAGTTTGGTTGTTAAGGAAAAATACCTTAAATAGTCTGCCGTTGTAGGGATGTAGTTTCCCCAACAGCTTTGTATGGAATTAGATTTTTTCGAAAATTGCATACTTTTAGGCAAACTTTAAATTATTGGTATTTAATTAAAATTTTAATCCAGAAAATAGCCATTGTTTTTAGCAGAAACTTTTTATAAGATTCAGTGTGTTAAGTAAAAAATAATTTTAAAGGCTATAATATTTTAATTTTAGAATATAAACCAGAGCTAAAAAACTTTGCATAATTAGATGATGTTCACTTTTAGGCATGTTTTCAATTTTTCTAATATTTCGATTGATTAATTTTTAATTGAAGACGAAAAGGGTTTATTTTATTTTTTTTTAATAAATACTAATAATAAATAAATAAATTATATAAATTAAAATAATAAAATTTGAATTTCTTATAAAACAAATTAAATAATGAAAAGATTATAAATAAATTAAATAATAAATTATTTTTTAATTAAATTTCAAATTCATTCGCTTAAAATTACATTTAAATTACAACATTTACACACAAAAATATTTATTTTTAAAATAAAAATGCTGGAACATTTAATGCTCGTCTCCGAAAAATATGCAAAAGATACATATTTTTTTTTTTTTTTTTGTCAAGATTAGATTAATATTTTAGCTAATATGATTTTGATTTACTTAAAAAATTTCAACATTTTAGTAAAAATTAAGTTTTGCATCTTAGTAACAAAAAAAAAAATTTGTATTCTTAATTTGTATTAATTTTTTTTTTTAATAGACGCGATCTTATAACTTGCACGAATTAATCTATAAGTTATTCTCGCTAATTTTTTAACTGGGTTCTAATTTTTTTGAATACATTTAGCGTTACTTTGTATTATGTAATAATAAAATATGTTTTTGTTTTAACTAAATCTTAAGTATCTATTTGACGCCAGTTACTTGTTTTAACCATGGTTTGTAATATGTTGTTCGCATGTAAACACCAGGTAAATATGGTGCTGCGCATTTAATACCATGTGATACAGTTCCAACTAATTCCCACCTTCCATCAGGTCGTTGTAATACTAATGGGCCACCACTGTCACCCTAAAAATAAAATAAAAAGGAGTAACATTAAAAGGAGTAATTTATGAATTTAATTATTCTTGTATTATAAAGAATCCGGAACCATTTTTGGGATCCTTATAAATATCCAGAAACAGATTGTATAGTCTTAAAAATGTAATGTCCAAATGCTTTATCTCATTCCGAATCTTTCCAATTGTAAGTACAGGAAATAATTATGACATTATAAGCAAAGCAATCAAAAAATAACTAACAAAATAATTCACTTATTTTTCAAAACCAGAGGTTTTCTTACTTTTGAATAATTTGACTAACTACAGCAAATGAGTTTTGATATCCATTCAGAAATCATAGAGGCACATATGCTTAAAATCAACTATGAGGTCAAAATATTTTAAAACTTTTTTAATGTTCAACTCTCATCATTAACTTTTAATTATTTGTATTAAATCTGTATTCACAATTTATAAATAAAATAAGAAAATGTAGAAAGAATAAAATTTTATAATTTGACGAAGCTATAACGAGTTGCAAATTATAATAAATTTTTAATCAGGATAATCTTAAGAGATCTTTCATCTTTATTCATTGTGAATTTTTGCATAACCTCCAGGGGTTGATGTTTAAAAAGAGAATACAGCGATTGAAAATATTTTATAGAAAAGAAATTCAGGAAAGAAAAATTGTTGCATATCTGAAAATGGTTGGATGAATACACGTTTCTACATTTTTTATTTTAATATTATAAAAAATCTAATATAGACAACGAAGTACATACAATTTTGTATAAAAACTCATTCGTAAGTCATCATAATATATATCGTATATTACTATGTGCATAGAACAGTATAATATGTAGGATATTTTAAAAATAATTTACAATGCAAATATCTTTTAAATTGATTTTTCTAATAAAACATAAAATTTTCCACAAAGGTCAATCTTATGTAAGAAAATTCATTATAATTGAGTTATTAAAGTTTATAGTTCCTTATTATCAATGGTAATTATGTGTACTTTTAACATGAGAAAGACGTAGTTAAAAATTAATTTATGTGGAACGTTGTTGGAAAAATAAAATTGTGTTGTGTTGCAAAAATGTTGGAAAAACTAATTTAAACTATAAACCTTCACCCGGCGCTGGAGTACATAAAACTGAAATAAGATTGTACAAACAAAGTACCAACAAGCTAATAAGAACTTGTAGTTTCTCAAAGAAATAAACTAAAAAAATTTCTTTATACAACTACAGAAAGGATGACAAAACAAGATTCGAACCAGTGACCCACCGATTTTTAGTCCGGACGATTAACCAATTGGATTACAGAGTAATAAATAAATTATAGGCAAATTGTTCCCTACATTGTTTTTTGCAGTATTATATGTCTTGCTTACATGCGATCTGTTCGATCGTCGAAAATCGAAACACACAATCACTAGACTATTTTTAAATAAGATATTGTCCACTACAATTATGCAATTACGAAAATTATTCTTTCTGTTTTTATTATTCTTTAGTAACACAAAAATTCCCAAAATCGCCAATAGAATTATGATCTATAACATAGTAAAAAAGATATTCATAAATCATAACATAACTTCTATGTCAAGTTGTGGCCGGCAAAATGTGATACATGTCGCAACTTACATCAAGTCACTCGTCCAGCGTACACTATATTCAGCAATGTATGTCTCTAAAAAAACCCAGCCAGTACAATTGTAAATAAGTAAGAAACATAGAGGCTATGTCAAACAAACTGGCAAGAAAATTCTAAATGCTTGCTTCTATTACAGAAATTGTTTTTCATTTCCTTTTCTTACACATATATCTTATACATGTTCTTTTAGATATGTTGAACTAATATAATATGTATTCATAAATATCATCACATGAGTATTAAGTGTGTTCATTTGGAGTACTTATTTTTCCTTATTATCCTTATAATCATGTGGAGTACTTTAATATATACTCATTTATGTACTCTTCCGCCCTACATGTAATTATACTTCTTAAATTAAAGATAAAAAATAAATATTTATAAAAAGAGGAAAATTCTAGAGAAAATTTTCAAAAATCATAAAATGAAATGATATAATCATTTTTCTTTGAAAAAATTATAAAAATATTTGCTTAAAAGAAAATTATACGTTACATGAAGCAAATTTATTTATTTCCTCAAGAAATAAGTGAGCTCTTCCGATAAGGTTACCACCTTATTTGTATTAATTAATTATCTGAAGAGGTAAATGTGTAGGCGAATTAAAGATTTCATTTACTTTCTTGAATGTTCGTACCTATTATAGTAGAGTCATTTTATACTAGGTAGATGTGCTTTCTAATATTCATAGACTCATTTAATTAGAATTAAAATTAACACAAGCCTTATAATACACAATAATCATGAACCTTTGAAACTGAAACGTGATATGATTAATTTTGTTTAGGAAGTTAGATTAATTTTAGCAAATTAACGCACTTTAAGGTTTAAATAGCAAACAAGGGAGATTGTTTACACTTTGTCACTATAAAATTGCGAAGTAAGATGGCCTGCGTTAAACTAAAGCTATTTTTGGTTAGGTAGATTTTACTCAACACCTTATTGTTTTCCCTTATTTTGCTTTCTAAATTTTAGGATTGAACCATTATACCAGTAATAATTTTAACCCTTCCATAAGGAAATGTTCCATGTTCCCCATGCCATTTCATTTGTTTATCTCTAACCCTCACTCGAAAATCTGCTCTGTGGTATCAGGACCACAAATGCTCATTTTTAGATTTAACAGGGTGTAAAAGCATAAAATTTCTGTGCATTTTCTTTTGCATGTGACATTTGCAGTAAGAATTTTATCTTTTCGAATATCTAGCAAATTTCGTCAACCAAATATCCACCCCTAAATAATCCGATTACTCAAAAATTGTTCGCCAATGTCGATAGAGCTTGACAACTGTGAAGGAGTGTACTCATTGCCTGGTTTTTACGGAAATAATGGAAGAATTTACTTGTGTTAAAATTTGTGTCAAATTTAGTGTCAGTGTCAATAAAGATTTTCCTGAATTGAATGGGCGAAATGTAAAAATACGTATTATTTTGGAAATAAAAATATTTTTGGAAATAAAAATATGTGTAATAATATTTATTCGAAAACATTGCAGAAATATATATGAACTATTATGTATTTTAAATTGAAAAGTGCATGAAAATTAAAATTGAACGCATTCAGGCATTTATGTAAATTGTAAACTTGCATAAATAACTATCAAATGTTTTGAATTTGAAGCAATGAAAATATAGTAACGCGGAATGAAAATTAAAATTAAAAATCAGACTAGATAAAGTTATTCGTATCAATTTTGTGATACTACTATGAATGATTGAATTGAGTTCTATCTTAAGGACCTGTAGTTTGAATTGGTTTTATTTTAAAAATAATAAAAGGATCGTCTAGATATGGCTGCTAAAGTTCAGCGCCGGATCTACCATATATGCAAAGTAAGCATTATGCAATGAGCGCTGGAACACAGGGGCGAAATTATTAAGCGCAATAAGCAATAATGATTGCATATTTTTAATTTCTTTGAAAATGGGAGGGCGTACGTTACGGAAAGCGCGTAAAGCGCCGAAAAAGTCAGAACCGGGCCTGCTAAAGTTATAGAATATCTTTGAAATATGATAAACGGCGGATTTGTGTAAGCAATTGAGTACCTTTGTATAAAACGTAATTATGTTTAATTTAATAATTTTTTGAATTCTGAAAGAGATGTTTAAATAAAAGAAAGATCGAATAGAATATTGCAAAATATGTTTAAAGTTTTACACGTAAGTCTTAAAATTTTATTCGACAGCGAAACATATATCGAGTGACAAATTTATAATAATAATATTTTACAGATTCTTACAGCAATTATTATTTTATAATTTTTATTAAAAAAATATACCGTACAATTGTAATCTATTACTCGTATAAATTGTTTTCATCTACAAAACTGCACATCACTTGCTGGTTCTCAAAATTTAATTGCATTGCACCTACGGTAGTTGCATAAAAGTTTTATTTCATTTTATTTTCGAATAGTTAACGAGCAATATAAATGCACATATGCTATTTGAACCATGTATTTCTACCTACATACATATGTATATATTAACAAATTTAATATGGATACCAAATTCGTATGTGGATGAAAAAAATAAGTAGGATATACAAAAATAAATTGCTTCAATTTAAAGGTCATAGAATGTTACAAATACCAGAAGGATGTAAATTTTTACAAAAATTATTATCGTTTTTGAATTGGATCCGTTTTTATAATAATTTTTTTTAAATTTTTTTAATATTATATAAACGAAATTGCATTTTGAAATTTTTAATTTACTGCAAATGTTTTTCTTTCGGAAATGTTATGCAGGTAATGAGAATTTAATTACGTAACGAGATAGGTGTATGTTACTTTAATGGAAACGAAAAAGGAATACTAAAATATTTTTTTTTTAAACAAGCCTTAGAACTTTTCACAAAGTAAAGAAATTAAAATGTAATTAAAATGAAGGCGTAAACAAGAGTAACAAAAATAGCTTTATTTCAAAATACTTTGCAACTAAATCAAACACTACTTCATTATTTTTTTTATTCCAATGAAAAAGTATTAGAATTCAAATTAATTAACAACAAATTAGACTTAAGTTAATAAGTCTTTCTTTAAATTAGCCATAATTAAATTTAGACTATTTGTAAACTAATTCTAATTAGTCGTGTTTTCGTTTTCATGTAATCTGTAAATGCTGTGTCAGTAAATTTGGAGCGAACGATAATTTCGTTGTGCTATACATGGTCATTAGCATTTTTGATGTGAAGAAAATAAGTGTTGGAATAAAGAAGGAACTCAATACGTTGATTAATAACATATTGATACATTTTTTGTGGCATTATGACAGATATTACATGCGATTGGAGCTCTTAAGTAGAAGCAAAAGATTGAGAAACTCGTTAATAAATACCGGCTCTAAAATTATAATTCCTAT